AAGGATAGTTTGAAAGCAAAAGTACCTTGTTGGAATTTTTAAGCTAATATAACAAGTGTAAACTTTGTTACAATGGTATAGTTCAATAAATAATTGTTCCACGGGTCCATACCAATGCTTGACAGGGCTCTAAGCTGCACAACAACTAATCAAATGCTGTGTGCTTAATTATTCCAGCTGCACACATCCTCGGTAATGGTGAGGAGTCTCAACACATCGACAGCCTTAATGACCCTGGCAGTCGATAGGCCTAAAGCCCAAATAACCGACAGGTAGCACTGCAAAGTGACCCGATGATTGGTAGGGTTGATGGTCTAAAAATACCCCCCCCCCCAAAAAAAGAACTGGTAGCACACATCTGCACATTGCCATGATAGTGGTGCATATTAAAAAAATACATTCCGTGCACATGGATTGAAAAAATTAGAGGGAACCGTGGTGCCCTGTGTGACATATAAATTCAGCACTTTACAGGTTATTAGTCTAGAAAAATTAAAAGTTTCTTTTGTCATTTATTTCTGATGAGGGCCCAAATGCTTGAACTCTATCTGCATTTCTCTGGCAGCTCGCTGTTACAAACGTGCAAGTGTGACATATTAGTAACTTGACAGCAATGCTCTTCTAAACCATTGATAAAGTGTAATTTTAAATTTTTTTTTATTATGTGACATTATCACTCAAATATTCCATCTGACATAAGTTGTTTTGTTTGGTGTTAACTTCTTGGAAACTGTTTTGATCTGTTGATGTGTCACAAAGTTTGTTTTATTGTTTTTCTACTAAACATTGATATTATCACCGAGTCATGGGTTATCCTTATTCACATTCATATGTTGTTTTTTTATTACTGAATTTCTCTGTAAGGCCACTTGGGGATTAAATCTTTATGAAACGTTTTAATAAACTTCTAAATGTTATCAATGCTACACTTATACATTGTTTTAAAAAATAAAATAAAAGTCCTCTGTTCAACAGTTAATTGTGGTATTCTAAGTTACACCAGTGTGCTAATTATCTGGAAAGAAAAAGATGTAAGATCGTTGTATATATGTATGTATGTGTTTGTTACCCGGAAATATACAAAAATAACACATGACACGTGCAGTTCTAGTTTAATTGTAGTTTTTACTGGATCATCCTACACAGTTTGTCATCTTAAAAGTTATTTTAAGGTAACTGTTTTTAACAATTAATTCCTATTCTTCATATTAATAATTATATAATTAATTTTGCTGTTACGTTGAACAACACACACATTAAAGTTTATTTTTCTCATGCTTTCTTCCATAGGTAAAATAAACTGTGAAAGCTGTAAAAAGAAATGCACTGGAAATGCTCTTCGTGTTCAGGACAAATACTTTCATGAAGAATGTTTCAAATGCACAGGTAAAATATTTGCATCGTAGTATTTTCTAAGTATGTGTAATTGTTATAGTAGATGGATGCACTAGCATTAAAATATTAAAGTACTGACGATTATTCCGTAGAGAGGCATACCAGTAGAATATTCAGGGATTGGAAGTTGTATTGATGGATATATCTGTACAACATTCAGTTACTTGTAGATGGATGCATCACTGTAGCTTCCAGTTGTATAACTACATGTTTAAGTTGTTTTTGATGGTGTATGTGGATGAATGTATCACTACATCTACCGGTCGTTCTTGATGGTGTACGTGGATGGATGTATTACTACGTCTACCGGTCGTTCTTGATGGTGTACGTGGATGGATTTATCACTATGTCTACCGGTCGTTCTTGATGGTGTACGTGGATGAATGTATCACTACGACTACCGGTCGTTCTTGATGGTGTACGTGGATGGATTTATCACTACGACTACCGGTCATTCTTGATGGTGTACGTGGATGGATGTATTACTTCGTCTACCGGTCATTCTTGATGGTGTACGTGGATGGATGTATTACTACGTCTACCATTCGTTCTCGATGGTGTACGTGGATGCATTTATCACCACGACTACCATTCGTTCTCGATGGTGTACGTGGATGCATTTATCACCACGACTACCATTCGTTCTCGATGGTGTACGTGGATGCATTTATCACCACGACTACCATTCGTTCTCGATGGTGTACGTGGATGGATGTATCACCACGACTACCATTCGTTCTCGATGGTGTACGTGGATGGATGTATCACCACGACTACCATTCGTTCTCG